GCCACCGCCGGCTGCCCGGCATCTAGCTGGAGTGGGGTGCTGACCGCTGGGTATGGGCCAGAGGCCGTGGCAGCTAACTGGGGCAGACAACACACACACCAAGGCTCCCACCACAAGGAGCTGCAAAAACACCAAAGGCGAACTAAAAGCCTGGGGCACTTTCTGGAGGTCAACCTTCCAGAAAGTTAAACAGTTAAACCAAAGCCAACGCCCGCACTCTTGCTGGGAAAGCAGCGCCTGTGAACTCCTCAGACAAGCCACAGCCTGCCTGCCCGAGGAAGAAGCTCCCAGGCAGCCGCGCTTCAGCCTCGGGGACCAGAGCTGGGGAACCGACACTTCCCACACAGGAAGGACCTGGCCGAAGCCAGGAAAAGCCGAGCCCCCGTGCCGTGTGGTGGAAGGAGGTGCGTTCAGGGGGCGGCTCAAAGAGCCCTCATCGACCCATCTGCTCCTTTTTTTTTCTTTTGGTGGAAAATCAGTACAACAAAAGCGAGTGTTTCCAAAATGGAGACAGACATTTCTGAACGGGACACGTGTGCAGCCCATCAACACGGCAGACAACAGTCTGGTAAAACGCTCACAGGGCCATCGGCAGAGAAAAGGCCCAAGGAGAGGCTCTCTGTGGATGCTCGGGATTCCTTCAAACACCCGAGGGCAAGTGGGGCCTGAGGCGCCTGCACGGGCAGCTGGCTCTGCCGCCTCACTCTGTGGCCCTGGGCACAGGTCCTCCTCGCCAAAGCCTCAGTTTCCTCCCCTGTAGAATGGGATCACACAGGCCGGCACATTCCCAAGGAGGCTGTGATCCCTGAAAGTGACCGCCCAGAGCCAGGCATGGGAAAAAACCCCACAGACATTGCTTCACATGGCAGTTCACCTACACACATGTGAGCCAGGGGGTGTCACCCACGGCACACAGGACAAATGGCCAAGCCCACTGTGACTCAGAGCGACCCTGCAGGACAGAGCAGAACTGCCCCGCAGGGTTTCCAGGCTGTAATCTTTGTGGAAGC